GAGGCGGCCGCGGTTCTCGGGCTCCTCGGCTCCGGCTGTGGCGCCCCTCCAGCCCCTGGTCCCGCGCACAGCCTCCGGGCGCCCCCGGTCGGTCGGGCGCCCCCGACGGTGGATCTAGCGGCTGGGAGGAGGCCAGCACCGGTCCCGGCGAGCCCCAGCCCCGGCCCCCGGCCCCGGGCCCGGCTCCGGTATGGATGTGAGGTTCTACCCCGCGGCGGCCGGGGACCCCGCCGGCCTGGACTTCGCACAGTGCTTGGGTTACTACGGCTACAGCAAGGTGACCGGGCCGGGCCGGGGTTGGTGGGTGGGGGCCACCACCTTCGGGCGTGCCCCGAGCCCCAGCGCACCCCCGATGCACTTTTCTTTCCTCTCTCGCGCCCTCGCCACTCCTTTCTCTTTGCGCCTTCGTCTCTGTCCAACTCTCCCCTTTGCTTTCTGCCCCTTTCTTATCCCGCCCCCCCCCCAGGCCCCTGCTTTTTTGTCCATCTGCTGGCGCTCCCCTCTGTCCTCGGCCACTAGCCTGGCCGCTCCCTGCTCCTATTGCTGCCCCAGAGAAGTGGAGAGCAACACGAGGACTAAAAGGGGAACCCGCGTGTGATTCTTTGTTGTTATTAGTAAACACGAGCTCAGCCCCCTGAGGTCGGGGGAGGCGGTGGTGACGCAGGGGGTCCTAGACCTCGCCCCCCTCGCAGGCCATCCCATCTCTCCCACCCACCTGAGAGTTGGACCCCGGGTCGCTTAGAAAAGGAAAGGAACAAACTTTTGCGCATGTTTTGGACGCGGAGGGGATGAAGCGGTGGGGACCCCCGCAGGTGTCCTATGCAGGCCTCTCTCTTGGGCACTTTGGACCACGGCGCACGGGTGCCCCACTTCCTTGGCCAGAGGCAGCGACTTCTAGTTGATTTTTTTTTTTTTTTTGTTTTGATGGGTGCGGTTAAATTTTGCTTTCAGGGAGCTCATTGACCCCCCCATACCTATGCCTGGGAGTGCCTCCACCTCCGCTTTCTTCCTCACCTTCGAGGATCCAGCTTCTCAGGTGTCCAAAGGTGGATGCCGGCAGGTCAGCTGGCTCCCCTTGGGGAGGTGAGTCAGATTGGAAGCCGGGCCCACGTGGACCCCTGGAAATGGTCTTTCCGGAAGCCCCAAGGGCTAGGCGAACACCTCACCCCCGGGGCGGCGATCTGAGTTAAGAGCCGCCCTCTGCATCGCTTGTGCCTTTTTGAATGGGCTTCCTCTCCCCTGCCCGCTGCTGCACCTCCCTGCTTGTCAGCTTTTCTTTCAAATCATAGTTTGTTTATGATTGCTTGGATAACAGAGGAGGAAATAAGGAGCCAGCTGAAAGAAAGGTGCTATACAAAACTAATGAATAAATAACAGGAAGACGAGGAATTGTGCCTCGCAGGGCGAAGCGGGGCGTACAGTGTCCCGCGCACGGTGCCTTCCCATTTGTTTGCACTCGGTCCCCAACTGTGCTGAAGTTTGTAAAAGACCGTGAGGGTCTTAGGTGCGCTCACCCCCGAGTCCCTGTGGCCTGCACTGCACCCTGGGGCCTCTCCACGTGCCTTCAGGACTTGAGTCGGTGTGTTTAACCCTTTGGTAGTGGGGGCCAGTGACATATTAAAGCTCGCAGAATCCCAAGAGTGACTCCTGAAGCTTTTCAAGAGAAGCGAGGAAAGGCCTGTATCCCTGTAGCCAGAGTTAAGGTTTCGCTTGCGTCCTGCGATGTGGATTTACTCAGGTTATTAAATGCTCTAAGTCGTCCCCCATGGATGCTCAGTCAGGGACCTCGGCAGCCTAATTAAGTATGTAGTGTTTTTGAGAATGCACCTAATTGTTCCAGTGGGGTATTATTTATCTCCTTGCCCTTTGCCTGTGTGTGCAAGCTTTGTCTATTTGGGCATGCTCTTACTTTTGGAAGCCATTACCTCGCTTAATGTAGTAGCCACTTCTTTCTCTGATTTAAGATCAACAACACTCGGTTGACTGCCAGAATAGAAACCTATTGTACTAATCCAGTCAGTCACTGCAAGGAGAGGCCAATCTCTGTTCACTAGGATTCAAGGGAGCAGAGAAAACTGGGTGTTGTGTGTGTGTGTGTGTGTGTGTGTGTGTGTGTCCTTTATTTATTTATTATATATATATATATATTTTTTCTTTTTAGAAAGCCAATTGTGAGTCCAATTACACCCAGAACATTTATTTTAGAGAGGACAGAGAAAGCTTGCAAATAGACATTATTTATTGAGATGTTGTTCAACTTCAGGAGTGAACATGCTAGTTAATTTGCTGTCAGATTCTACATTAAGAGCTATTTGCCAGCAACCACTTGTTCGAGATGCAGCAATTTGGTGGTCCCTAGGCTGTGTGTGTAACCAGTTTGTGAAAGTTAGATAGAACACTTTATAGTGGTAGAGATCACATTTGTGCCTATTTTAAGGTATGCTGGCATAAACTTCCTTGCAGGTAAAAACAGTCTTTAAATCGAGCCATAATAATACTTTTCTAGTTTTGATTTAAGGGATGGGAAACGTAATCTTTTTTCTCGCAATTCTTCTTTATTCGGAGCAGGTAGTAGAAGAGAGGAAGTATTAACTTCATGAGTATAAAACAGCAAGTGCTAATTAAAAGTTTATAGCATTTTGTTTCATTGCTAACTTGGGTGGGTGCATTGGTATAGTATAGTTTTGGATTGAAACATAAAAAGTAGCACAAAAAAGCTTGTGTTTATTTTATTTGAAAGTACCTGGAATTATTAAATTTCTTAAGACTTAACAATTGTTGGTGCACATTATCTTTCTTTGATGAGAAAAGATGGATTTTAAAGAAAGTATCTTTGTGCTCTTTATTGTTTTAATAGCCATCTGGGAGACTTTAGAAGAAACAGAATCCTTGGCTCCAGGCTTTATAAGTGAAGTTAGTCTTATCTTTAAATTTATTTACACACCGTGAATAATAGGGCTTCATTCATTTCTCTCTCTTAACAAATGCCCAGAGTCCTTTGTATAAATTATATGCGTGTGTATTATCTTTACATTCTCTGAGAATATGGATCCTTTTTAAATGTCAGTGCCCATGAAAGTGTGCTCTTGTCTATAGAGAATGGATGAAAGAGTTTTGAGGGTTCAAAAGTCGTTGCAAGTAGTAGAATAACTTCAAATAAAATATAGTCAGGATCATTAAAATCAGTTAATAATTCATGAGCCAGCCCCTGATGTCGGAACTTGAAGTCATCTCTATTTTCTAAGGGCTAATTTCCATTTTAATTTCAGATGGAGAATCTGTTTGAACGTTTCTTTTTTTCTGATGTGGCTATCAAATTAACACCTATAGAGTTTAAAAAAAAAGGCTCTATGTGTTACTCAAGTGAATTGATGAACCCCTGAGCAGATATCTGAAGTTTTCTTTTCTGGGTTAGTCTTATTTCACCAGCAAGAAAATAATATGCAAACATAGGTTGGCATGTAGTTGTCAGAAGTTGTCACCTCAAAGTAAGATATTGTATTTATTGTGGGTGGAGTGAAATGAAATCACATGGTGACTTAATAATGAACTAGTTCTAGACTTTACTTTCTAGCTTTTTTCCTGCATATTCTTAGTTACCCCCACTTATAAAAATATGGCTGTTAGTTTACTATGCTGTTTTTATTCCATTTTGGCTTATCAGTATTAAATTTGCTTTTAATGATTATGTGTTGTTGTTTTTTTCAATCACTCTGCTTATTAAAGAATTGTAATATTTATGCTTTAATTCCACCTTATTGGAACTATCTTGGCCAGCTTGAAGGAGAAGAGAAACAGACTCATTTGGACATTTGTCTATCTTGCTTAGATGGAGGTTTCACATTGAGAACATTTTGAGAGGGAGATATGATTGAGACTTTGCACGAGAAAGAGCTGCGACTTCCTGTCTAGGATGTGAACCATGGCAATGTTGAGTTTTGAGAGCAGATTGAGAGATTCCCAAATTTCCTATTTCATTAAACAAATCAATGAAGTCAGATTGTGAAAGAGAAACAAGGGTGAAGACCTTAAATTGAGGGTCGTAAACTCAAACACCTACAGGGAGCCAGCCAGTCAACTGCATGAAGGTAGGGTTTATGATCAAGGGAGGACATGCCCCTTTTAAAGGGGGTAGCCTTGTTCATGCTACTAAATCGTTGCCATGCCAACATTGAAGTCCGTTATCTCTATATTTTGTAATTATATCTTGAAGAGAATGTATATCTGGATTTTTATGTGAAGTATCCCAAATTTTAATTATTGGCAACAGAGATATTAGTAGAGACATGCTTGTACTTGTCTTTGCGTTGTTTATCTTAGACAAATTAACGGCAGATGATGATCTAAACATGATTTTTTTTCATAATTTATGGCTTATATGCAACTGAGTGCAACTTAATTGATGGTTAAGTTAGTTGACAGACTGAGGAGGGAAGTAGAGTCCAGCACTTTGTACATAGAATTCTATCTGGTGATTTGGAATCCATCATTTGTTTTGCTAGATTAAGGGTCAGGAAAAATCATCCTGTGGTTACATTGCACCTATTGTGATCTCAGATGACCTGCTTGCGAAGAATGGCTTTTGTCATTAAATGGTTGAGAAAAAGAAAAAGAATATTATATCTGGAAATTATGTGATGGTAAAATGTTATTGTCTGTAGATAAAGTATTGGAACACAACCATGCAGGTTTTTTTTGTTTTGTGGGTTTTTGGTTTTTTTGTTTGTTTGTTTATAGATGTTTTCTTGCTTTGCCCAAAAAATTGAGTAGTGTTTTGATAAAGACTTTATGTTCCATAAAGCCCAAAATAATCCCTTGCTAAATATTAGCAATTTTATAGGGATTTTTGGTGGATGTTGTGTGGCCAGTTTGGTGGTCTTTTTCTCTCCTTTGGAGCATTTATTTTTTTGTAGACCTTAGGTTATGTGTAAAATTCTAAGAATTGGATCTAAGAGTCGCTAACTAATAGAGAAGAAATCCTGATGTCACTAGAGCTTCATAGACTCCCTATGTTACCACCCAAAACAGTGGAAGCTGGCTTAATTTAACACCCTGTGTTTATGATGGACTCTCAATGCAGTTGGATTTAACCCTCCCCCCCTTAAGTTTCTAAGGCTATAAATCTCACAAGAGAAGATTGTCCATCTCTCTCCTGCTAGTGGATTTGAACTTCACAGAAGTGAGGCCTTTGGGCTAGCAGTACAAGTCTCTGTGGATGGTACTATGAACGCTCCCTTGATAGGGACTGAAAAACTCTACTGTCATGGGGATCGAACC